AGGAATAGGCAAGAAAGGTAAAGCATGTTTTCCCAGAAATTTTGCGTATCCTATGCTGCTTCCCCGGGAATGAGGTGGTCGAGTCCAAGCATAGTTGCATAAAGGTGGCAGCAGTGACAGGATTAACACACTGAGTATCTTCTGACTCCCTTCTTGACGTTACATTCAGGATATAATTTTTCCTGCCACAAGATGGGCTAATCTGGGTGGTTTATAGATCATAAAAAAATAACCATGGTCACTACCACTTCTCATTGCACCATGTTTCATTAACTTTTACAGGCAGTTCTAAAGAACTACAAATATTTTGAATTTCAGAAATACATGAAAACCTGGGATTATGTGCAGCTTTAAAGGCTTCTGGCCACATTTTCAAAGGGTTCTTTAATAATGTCTGAAAAATGTGCAAGAGCAAACACATACTTGTAAGTGTGATTACCTATTTTGTGAGTTGATTACCTTTTCCATGTGATTGCCTGTTTTTGGCTAATTTGGCAATCCTTGTGTCGACAAATTCCAACTGACTTCATTGATAATTTAGTCTGCATGCGGACTGCAATTTAGCTCCTTTGAACATGAAAGTACCTCTTTGTGAATCCCTGCACTTTCACATACATGCAGCAAATAAGTACTCTGGTAAAATTTATGGGACGTGTACATAGATGCTCCTTTGAAAATTTGGCTGCTAACATGACTGAAGTCAGTGCTGCTACCTAACAAACCGAAAACAGGTTTCTTTTTACAAAAGCAATCAGTCCTTTTCTAATCATGTTTATAGACTCATCCCAGACAGGTAGACCAGTTGTACAGAACATATACGGAAATTTCAAATAATTCTTTTTCTTTTGCTCTTCATATGACTGGCTAGATAGCTTCTGCTTTGAGTACACAGATTCACTATCCACCTAAGTCTGTCTTCTCTTTTCTAGAAATATCCACTGAAGTTGGCATTGTGCCTCTGTAGCATTTCTATCTGTGTGCTGAGGGCACTGCCAGCCGTGGCAGTGGCTCATTTCTGGGTAGATCATTTCTGATACCTAGTAAGATACCTGCTGTAAAAAAGGATTCACTGGTGTGTTTCTCACTTTCTTTTAACCTGCTACTGTAAAAGTGCTCCTGGCTCAAAACTGTTTATTGGGATTATCTGGTTCTGTGGAAATTTCCTTTCTGGGTACCACGGGGATGTGAAAGCAGCCTGCAGCAATACGTGGGTCATCTCCATCCTAGGTGAGGAGTGGTGGCTTTTTGTCCCTCCTCTCCTGAGAAGTGGGCATCTGTCTGAAGAAGGGCTAGTCCTTCAAATACTGATCTTACGGATTGCTTAGTTTTAATTTCAGTCTGTGTGGCAAATAGATTTGCTCACATTTTGGCCAAATTGGCTCTTCGGTTATGCAGCCAATTGCCACCTTCTGATACGGATGTTAAAGGGAACTTTCTTTCCTTTGCATTTGTCCCATGAGAACACGCACACAGTCAGTTATTAAGTGTAGCTGAGGCATGGCACGCAAGAGGTGTCCATGTCATACCACCCCAGAAGCTGCTTCATGGCTGAATTCCTCTGTGTCCTGTGCCACGGAGCAGTATCTGCCTGCCCAGCAGGTACAGCATACGTAGCAGCTGGAGGTCTCACAGCTGTTGCCTTCTCCTTATACTGACACAAAGACCGGTTTCATATATAGAACTGAATGTTGCCTTTTGCTCTTCTGTCCACGACTTCTGCTGTGAACAGATGCTTTGAAAGTGAAAGGAAAGCTCAGCGAAAGTGAGTTCAGAGGCAAGGCTCGGAAGCCTTACATCTAGCATGTACATCTATACAATATTTTATACTCTGTTCTGTTATTTCCTGCACTCCAATCAGGAAAGGTAGGGATGGGCAGGAAGACATTCAGGACGTAGACCTGCCTATAATGGAAGTAGGTAGTAGAAAAAGCAGTCTAATCACACGTGCATCGAGTGCACATCATGTAGACCACATAACTCAGTGAACCACAATGGCTGTAAGCTAAGTAACTGTTGTCTTTCCTTCCTGATCTTTTATCCTCGGAATTGAGCAGCCCAAAAACCATAGCTCAAATCCCGAGTAAATCATAAATTAAATTAATTTGCTGGGGCTAATCCTAGTTCTGCAGGTCTGTAAAACATTACTACAGTTTTGCACAATTTAACAGAACTGAGAGTTTCTACTTAGGAAGGGGGTCTCAGTAGCAGGAGAAAGGGGACATCAGAGGTGTAGAATGCACAATTATTGGTAGAGATGAAATTTTTCATTCCCCGCATACTGTTGTTGGCATGGTCTCTATTCACCAGTTTGCTTCTTAACTTCTTCCTTGCTGATCTCTTCTCCTTTTTCTGTGTCAGTTTTTCCCCCCTTCACTTTCCATAGATTGCTTTAAGAGACTCAGTATAAAAAAAAACCTTGGTAGCAGAGTCAGTGAGACTTAAATGCATTTTAAAGTTAAGCACATTTTAAACTTAAGTGCTTTGACAAATAGGTACAATTTGCCAAAATGGGGCCCTAGCAAGAAGTTGGGGTAGCATTTGATGGGGGCAGTCGGCAGCCTTGAACATATCTTTTCATTGTTTGAAATAAAAGAACTTAGATGTAAAGCTGCTCATTCAGGTAGCGATGGCCTCCAGCGCTTCGGTGGGCTTTGTAGGCAGAGGAATTCAAAAGAAAACCCCTCAGCCCAGCTTTAAAGTCTTAGGAATGCTTTCACTGTGGGAAGAAAAATTCTTCAAGGTAAGGCCCCTGTTGGAGCAAAGCCTTTGGAGCTATCTACTGTATGTCTACTTAAATCTAAAAGAAAACTCTTCAGACCACCCACATCTTTCTTTGCTTCATTGTTGTTTTCAGTTTGCTTTTTCAGAGGGATTAGTGCTAGAGTAAACTCCATCGTCTCGCTGCCTTGAAAAAATTCAATTTTGTGTAAAGTGAAAATTAGACTCTTAAATCTGCAAAGCGAGCTGTTTATCTTACAAATTTATTCTTTTTTATTGGGCCACACATATTCTAGATAGAAAGATAAAAGGCAAATGGATAATAGGCCATCATTTAGAGTGACATATAGCAAAACATAACTAGTAAACTTATTCGGTAAATTTCTCCTGAGTGGCTTGTTAGCTTTATCTATATATTTATCTATAATGCTCATATAGTATTTATTGAAAACCAAAATAAAATCCTGCAGTTTATCATCATGCATTCTGTATTTTGCACTTCAGAAAAAGCTTTTTGCACTCAGGAATTCATTTTTTCCCGAAGCAGCTTAAGACGTGATTATATACAACTTTTGAGGAGGAAAAAAGGGGAAAATCTAAACTCTTTAGGGAGATTGGAATTATAGACTAGCACCTGTATATGTTTTGCTGGACTCCTGAAGACAAAATACACTCCTGCAGTATGTTACTTTACATACTTGTGAATAATTCAAAATGACAGTTACTAGCTTTCCAACTTAAATATTGTGCTTTAACTCTGCAGTCTAAGAACAATCAGAAAATGTTAAACAAGCATGTGATGTGAAAACTATGAGATTTTGCCTTTTGAAAACTAGCAATAGCTTGATTACATACATGACTAAGATAAGCATTTTTATATATATGTATTTCTATCACTCTATCATCCCCTTCTTTCAGCTTTAAGTGAAATAGTTTAGAGGGACCATTTTATAATAAATAATGAAATGCCTGTTAGTGTTACCTTTTCCAGAAATGTGGTATTTGGGTCTCTGCTACTGTGTGAATAGTTTTTATTAGAGCCAAATTTTTAAGTCTTTCTTATGTCCCATCTCTTCCATTTAAGAGGCAATGCTGTGTAAACTGCACTATGTTTCCTGACAGCTTCAGTTACATATCAAATAGGTAAAGACAGAACATTTTTAGTCAGTAGTTTATGGTTGAAATAATCAAGACTCTGCATGCAGATTTTAACTATATGCTCCCCACCTCAATATAGCCCAGATAGCTCAGCTTTTGCATAGTGGTGTGATGGTGTGTCCATGTGTATTTCACCTCTGTGGCATGCCAGTAGCATAAATCCAGCTCAGAATTTCAACATTTGCCATGGTACTTTTTGGTGAAATCATGAATTGATACATATATGTGATATTACATGACCCTGTAAGTACAAGATGATAGATGAGTCTTGTGTGGTTTGAATAATGACTTTTTTAAAATGCCCTACATTTTTGCAATTTTTATGTCAGTCTTTTGTAATTTATTTTGTTCATAGCCTGCTTGGATAATAGCAGCTTGTTCAAGATGGCTGAGAATGACTGTCCTTTATATCAGGAGAGAGAAGAGATGTCCTGGAGTCTCACCCATTGTATTATGATGCAAAGAATAAGTGTAGCTGTGAACACTGAAGGAGAAAACTCAGGAGCTGTGGGTGAGAGGGAGAAGGAATTCCCACTCATCTGACCATTTTTTCATTGCCTTTCCCATGATATTAGGTCACTTACTAGGTTATGTGTTGTAACTCCAATGCTGAAGTGTTGCAGAAGGAAGTTGATTAGCTTTGTGTGTTGACATGCCACTGCTGTTGGAGCCTCCCACCCTCCTGCATCACCGCAATTCTGTTGTTTTGGGAGGTTTTAATACACTGATGCAAACTTTTTCCCTCTAAAAGCATACAGATTTTCACAATACTTATAAATTAAACAGATTCAACAAAACAACAATCTAAAACTTTTTGGGGAAAAATTAATAGGAACTAAGCAAAAGAAGAAATCAAACCAGCTGCTGACGCAGCTGTTTCTTTTCTTGTATAATTCAGTTCAGTAGAAAGGTACCATATGCTGCTTAAAATGATGATAGGAAAGATGAAATAATTTAAGACAAATAACAAGAAAATACATGAATTGTCAGCATTCTGTCAGATTTAAAGAATGAAATAGACAGGTGTAGTATTGACATGTTTAACTTTGTGTTGTGTTAGCAGTTTTAGTGAGAACAACTTCTGTCATGTGCTGAAGTGATGTGAGAACATTTCTGTGTTGCAGACATTGGAGAAGAAGCTGGGAGATCTGTAGGAGTCCAGCAGCCAGCTTTACTGAGAGACAGGAGCCTTGGTTCTGCCATGAAAGACTGCCCATATTGTGGAAAAACTTTCAGAACATCACATCACTTAAAGGTCCACTTGAGAATACATACAGGTGAGAGGAACAAGTGAGCGGAGCACTGTCGACACATGCCGTGTGTGGAGGGGTTAAAATAATATGTGGCTAGGAGCCCTAATTCCCAGTGTAGATTTGGACTCATTAGTTGGAGAAAGTCTTTTGAGAAAGATATATGACAGTCTTAAATAAAAGCACAAGGAATGTGTTGTTGGATAAAGACCACTTTAATAGAATCATCTTTTCCCAGTTGAGGTTATTTCTGTCTCCTTCCCTGCTTCATCACTGTTTCCTTCAATTACCCTTGTCCTTCAATAGTCATAAGCCTATTGGTTTCAGACTTAGTTATACTAACTGCTTCAAAGGCCTTCCTTAGCATCTGCTTAGGGATTCTATATGTTTTTCTCAGAGTTACTATTTTTGTTCCATTTGGCATGCTCATTTTTAACCTGTTCATATGAATACATCAGCTTCATGGATCTGCGTTTTTTTTTCACTAGAACTCACCTGACTTAGTACTTGTAAGTAGTAAAACTTAACATGTTTTGCACCATGGTAAAACTTACCATGTTTTATTTTAGTAACAGTCACAGCATTTCTACCCTACAGAGATTTACTACTGGTCTTGATTCTCACTTTATTTTGGTATGTCATTCATTGGGTGGACTGTTCTCGATACTAGTAAACTATAACGACTCCATTTAAATTATAATACCTTGTTTGCTTGAAGTTATGGATGTGCATGGTAAGGTTCGTGTAGAGACACAGTATATGTTTAATAAGACTTACTCTATCCATAATTAAAATCTGACATACAATGTTGATATCCTCAGGTCCTGTTAACTAGAAATTCTGTATATGGCCAGTGTGATACTGTTTTCTTCCAAGTCTTAGGTATCATAGTAGGCTTTGGGAGAGTATGCAAAACTGGAGATTTAGGATACTTCTCTTTGGAAACAGACGTAGTGGGCACTGTAATTGTGGAGTAATTTTCTTTTTAAACCATCTTAAATGAATTTCAGAATTTTACTGCTACTTTTCTAATTGATAGGTAAAATAAATTGCATGAAGAAATACTTTCCAGTTGTACCTCCTACTTGAAAAACTTCACTTTTAATTTTTATTTCACTGAAGTACCAGATAAGCAGTATTTTCCTCCCTTCCCAAAATCAGCAGTCATGTTTCTCCTATGTGCTTGCACAGATGTAATACTTAATGTTGGGTTTGCAAATGTGAGGCCTGATTTTGAAAAATTGAAAATGAAGGCTGAAAATTATTTAAAGAAAAAAATTTCATTATTGAGATGGGAACGTTTCTTCATTGTATTTTTATTCTTCTTTCTTTGGATTGTGGAGTAGGAGTATACCACACTGGTTGGATCGGAATTTTAAAATTTGGCACCCTAATGTGGTTTTGTCTGATTGGATTGCAAACCATTTAGGACAGGAATATTCTTTTCTGTGCATTGGACTTTGTTTAAAAAAAAAAAAAAAAGGGGGAACAGTGAAAACCCTATTTGTGTGTTCTCTAATGTAGTAAAAGTAAAAGAAATGGTAGTTATTTTATTGGAAAATAATCTTTTAACTGTGAGGTT